GAATGCTCAACAATCTTCTCTTGAAAACCCTCCTGGTTTAGAGCCTCTAGTGTAATGGCACTCTCTGACATATTTATCTTATTTACAACTTTACCTAGATTTTTCTTCATCATCTTTTGCTTTTTCTCTTCCTTTGATAGCAAATGTTCCAAATTATTCTTTTCCTTTTCTTTTTCAAAGCTAGGATTTTTTGGCACTTCTGACAATGTCTTTGAAGTCACTGATGAGTTAGGTGTCTGTTTGAAAGAACTGGTCATAAGATATGGTGTGCCTTCTTTCTCAGTATTAAGCGTACCCTGATTGTGCTCAGATTCATGGTTTGAAGCAGCTGTCATTAGACCATTCTCACTCTTTGCAGATGAAATGATACTGGGTTTTTTGCCTAACTTCAATTTTACCTTGGCTAACTTCTTGTTACTACTTCTTTTCTTTTTATTAGATGATGATGATACATTTTGTTCCGCTGAATCCTGGTGATCAAACTCATCTTCAGGATATATGTTTTTTTCTGAATTGGCAGATCCATCATTGTTTTTTACAAAATATTCAGATCCTTTTTTATGAGGCATTTCAGAATATTTATCCACAGCCTCTGTTGTGGAATCCTGTGCGATATGCAGTCCCTCACTTCTCATAGTCCCTGAAGTTTCTTGATTCTTTTGACTTTCATATGTACCTTGCTCTAGAAAGCTAGATGATTTTCTTTTCTTCTTCTTCTTTTTGGTGAGGGGTGATGCAGACTGGCTGTTCTCAATGGGTGTTGTCCTCACAGATTCAGTCATGGCACTGGTTTGATTCTCACTTTCAGGAACAGTAGGAAAGAATCCAGTTATTTGACTTACTTCCTCAGTAGGACTCTTACTGCATGGAGGTGCCATCATTTTCATCTGGCTATGTCCAGCACAGGCTGAATGCACTGAGTCTTGAGAAATACCTATTAAATCAGCAGCTTGGCATTTTATTTCTTCTTTTGACTGACATAATTCTGAATATGAAATGAAAGAACTCACTGATCTTTTTATTTGTTTAATATCACATGACTTATGGATGTGATCTGCTGTACCTGGCCTAGCTGTCTGGTAAGTTTTTGATGATGGCATAAAACCACTGATGTTACCTTTGGAGGTTGATACTAAACTACTATATGTACCTTGTTCCACAACTGATTTCTCCAATATATTCTGTACCAATTCATCTTCATTAGGCACTTCTAATGTCTTCCTGTTTGTGGTTTCTATTAACTCACTACTTTTGTGGCTTACTTTAAAAAGCATTTCTTCCTTTATATTTTCTGAAGACAGCTTTAATAAACCATTGTCACTCATCTCATTAAATTTTGGATTACTGACACTTGATTTTTTTCTGCTTGAATGAGCTACCATGCAATATTCAGACGTTTTTTCTCCATTCTCTACTTCCTCACTGTAGGAAAACTGTCCTATTGTCTTCTCTTGAACCTCTTTCTCAGATACCAAGGTGACACTTTCAACTACTGCTTTCTTTTGTCTAACACGCCTTGGCCCAGGGGTGGGAGGCCTGTAAAAGCGAGGCTTGGTGTTTTCCTCAGGTACATTGCTTACATCTAAATCTGCAGAATTGTTCTTCTCAGAGACATTACAATCAGCAGTTTTCAAATCAGATTCTGATTCTTTTTCTGAAACTTCTTCATTGGATTGCTGTAACGAGTCTTCCTCTCCTTTACTGCAGCTCTTCAAAAGTGGAGCATCTTTTGGATTTATACAGTCTGATGTATTTACATTGGATGAGCAGTCTTCCACATTCATTGCAGAAGAATTGCAGATGGAGATATTTTTGTCATCAGAAAGGCCAGCACGACTTACGGTGGTTGTCCACTTAATGGTTTCTTCCTCTTTAATTTTGAATCGAACTTTCATTTCTACTGTGATACTGCCATCTTGATTAACATGAACAGACTTCTCAATGTCATCTTGATACTGTGCCACAGATAAGTCTTCACCAATAACTGACCGATTTCCTCCTATCCCATTATGGCTCTCAAGAACGTAGGAAGACTCTGAGTTGTTGTCATTTGAGTTGTTTTCATTGCTGGATCCTTTATCAGAAGAAACTGAGAATATCTGAGATCTTGAACTAGAGTCCATTTCAGTTCTCACTACCCATAATTACATTGAAAGAACACAGATTCATTCAGTAGACAGAAAGCAGAGCAGACAAATACCATGCATAAGGATCCAGATGATGAGACAGCGGACAGGCAACAAAGGAAAAGAAGAAAGGAAAAAAATTAGTACTAAAGATGATAATGAAACATGCTATTTTACACACTTTAGGTTTTTTATTTATTTTGCATTAGAAAGTACAGAAAAAAAACCCCATGGGTATTCTTGCTACTCATCTGTGAAATTTTCAAAGAAATATAAGTCTTAATAAAGAAATAAGATTTAAATACTTGTCCACTTAATTTTATTTTACAATAAGTTCTTTCTAATGCCAGAACTACAATCTTATTTGAAGCTCCAAAGCCTAAAAAAAGTACTAGATGATCTCATTTCATACTTAGTTGGGAGCTGAGGTTGCCTTGAGCTTTTCAAAGGATTCATAGGTGCTCACTTGTTTGGGTTTCAAGTTACCAGCTTTACTTCCTTTTCATGCTTTAGTGATCATTATATCATTTCCTACTAGTTCTTACAGTTAGTATTAAAATATGTCAGTCAAGGTCAATATATGTCCTTGGGCTTAATTTAACAATCTACAGTACATGAGTAACTACTCTTTGTAATGTCACTGACACATGACAAAAGGGTCCATATGCAATCCTCTGACCTTCTATAAAGAAGTAAACATTGAAGTTCTTGAACTCCTTATAAAATCTGACCTTAAATCATGACATTCTGGAACATATTTATGCATCTCTACTGTAGAAAATGGTGCAAAAGTCAGCAAAGTCTATGGGAATACTTCTAAACTTCAGAGATATTTGAATGTGGCCCAAAATGTGTTAGCATACATAATATATTTTCCCACAATATGTTTTGATTATTCTGCAGTAACTTGGGTCTTTTAAAAACTTTATCTCATCTTTCCTTCAAAGCTGTCACTGAAGAGTTAAGAGTTAAAAGAACATGAGATAAGAATAAAGTTTTGCTGTCTTCCAAGGTCTTCCACATGTGCAAGGGAAACACATGTGGATGATATCTAAATATATATATATGATCCACCATTTAATAGATAGGTTTCTGCAAAAAGCATTTTAACAGATATAATATTAACTTATCTAAATTTCTTGACTTTAAGTTTGTTTTTTTAAGTGGTTTCACATCAATACTTTTACAGTAATATATTACTGTCATAGAAACATGCCTATAACTTCAGAAAAATGGCCTTGCAAGCTTCTCAAGCATATGCTTTACCATGAACTGAATAAGAGACAAAAGTTTGTACTAATTCTTCTAACATAGACCAGAACTTATGCCTCACGAAATAAAAATCTCACCTTCTCTGTCTCAGGAAATGGAATTGGAACCAAGATGCTGAAATTTAATTTTCCCTGCTTCATATCATCAGTGATATCTCCTACACCCTATATTTGTTAAATTCTCAGGTTAAAGACATAAAAAGGATTGTTTTTCCTCCCTCCTTCTGTGATTGCTGTTGACTAAGAATTAGAAGCAGGAGATAATCATATTCAACAACTCAGGTTTTCTACAATTGTATATCTCAGTCTTTGTCTCAAAGCAGAATCTAGGCAGGACTTTCGTTTCTGCAGAACTGTCGTTCTCAAAATGTTCTTATTCATTCTCTCTTGACTCATTAGTTATGCTCTGCAAACAGGTCTCAAGCTGTGCAAGTCAAAGTACATGAAGGCTGAAAAAAAACTAAAATTAATAGCCTGGTGGGGAGAGCATAAAGTGCAAGAAATGTGAATGGAACTCTCTCAAGCAAATAGAAATCAAATGTCATATATTAACCTGCTCCATGACATTGTCAGGGTTACTGTGGAAAGTCCTGGTACAGTAACAACTATAGTGTTCCCTGGGTTCTTCAGTACAGCATGAAGCTGTAGCAAGAGTAGACAGTACTCTGGATTAAGGAAGTTCCTGCACACAGTACCTCAGCCCTACAGGATGCTCTAATGTCAGGAATTCTCACAGGACTTACATCTCTGCTACTACAGCAGTTCATTTCCCTCAGGCTATTCATCTAGCCTGGCTTCTCTCAAGAGATCCTCATGTTCTTGATCATCCACCAGCCACTTCACACTCTTCCTGATCCTATCGGTGGAGCAACTCCATGTGTAATCAAAGAGAAAGTACATATTTGTGTATCTTTTCCCAAATTTATTTAAAAATATATATGACAGCCATGAGGATATAGGAATGGACAACACTCTAGGCAAAAGCAGCTTCAAAAACATAATGAATTTGTGAGTGGATGGATGCTATAACAGTTTTCCTATTTATGTGGAGCATGCGACAAGAGAAGAAAAGTCATGACAAGCCAAACCTCCACTTGTGAAGTTCTGAAAATTGAGCAAAAGTTTTGTCCAAGCAACTCAATGAGAGCCTGAAGTAGCCTGGGGTTTTACTTTTACCACTGTTGTTATTAATTATGACACCAAATAATTTGTAACAATAGCAATCAAATGAATTAAAGTGAAATATACTCATAAATTTTCATCCATGCTTTAAGTAAGTCTGTCAGAAACAAAATATTCATAGTAGCTGAGTACTTAGCAGAAACTTGCATTTTAAAAAGAAAATTAACACTTTGATCTTTCATAAGCTTATAGAGGAGTCACAGCAGATATAAACAGTTTCAATTGGCCTTTCTGAATATCCTTGATCCTAGGAAGATTGTCACTGTTTATGTCTTATTAAAGACATAAATTAAAGACAATTAAAGACATAATTTTTGGCCTTTCTGAATATCCTTGATCCTAGGAAGATTGTCACTGTTTATGTCTTATGCTGAAAGAGATAAACAAATTATTAAAATACAAATGAATTCAAAGAACTTACTCTTTTCACTTTCTGACTTGGCATTTGCTTTTGGGTACACACGATTTCCAATTCCAAGCAATTTAGCAGGTCGCAAATACCCAAGAGATTCATAATTGCTTGGTTTAAAAGGCTCTCTCCCCGCTGCGACTACAGCTCCAGAGCACAATATCAGGGCCTGAAGATTAGGAACCTGGAAAAAAAAGTAACATTAAATTCTCTGCCTTAGTAACCACCAAAAAATAATGTAAGAGATTCATCCCTTTCAAGCTTTAATATCTTCACTCCTTGGTCTCTACATTTATTTGCAGCAGACTATTAAATATGTATCACAGCATGGAATTAATTTTTCAATTCCTATAAGGCAATTCCTATTTATGTGAGTATATATCTTGTTATATAAATATATTGGATAATTACTTCAAGAAGCAACTTGGATCCACATCAAAATTTTCTTAAAATTTAAGTGTCTACACATGTAATTTCGTTTCATTGTTGCACAATGACTGTTCATAGTCATGAAATATGAATATGCATTTGGAGGTAGGTATACATATGAAGATGTGGAGGAAAAATTCAGAATACAGCACAAGGAGCTGAATCATACTTCCACAAAGGAATAGGACACCACCACAGAGCATTATACTTTGGAAAAGACCTCTGGAGGTCATGCAGTCTAACCCTCTACTCAAAGCAGATCTGACTGGATCAAGATGCTCAGAGCCTTGTCTGACAGTTTTGAATGTATGTTCCAAAATATATTGCAAATTAATGCTTAGAAACTGTACTTCACTAACTTGTAGGTAATATGGACAGTTTCCCAGACTAATACCCAAATTCATCAAGTGAAGGGTAAGCAGATTTCTTTTGAACTCTTCAATTTCTGCACAGATTTCTCTTTCTAGATACCTGCTAAGTGCAACCATATGTGTTTTTCTGTAGTTAAACAGCAGACAGAAAAAACACTGAAATGAAATTATACAAACAGCATGCAAGACCTGAGTTTAGAGGTACAGAACCTGGTCCATGGTTTGAAACTATGATTGGCAATCAGGTGTCAGAGTTCCAAGTCATTAATGGCAAACCACTCTGCATTTATGCAATGATAAAAGTACCTGTGGACATTAGATGCTACTAATCATGTTCTAAAACATTTAAAATCCTAGATAAATAGTGTAAACACTAAAGGAAGTGTTTGTGTAAATGGATAAAAGTACAGAATTGGCAGCATGCCTTAAAGAGGCCTGAGTAAGAGAAAAAAAAGTGTATTTTTCTTTTTTTTTTGCTTAAAATGAATGTGTCCTCACTAACTTCTCTCTGTTCACAAGATTCCAGTATATTTCCTCCAAGCCAGTAGCCTTCCGAAGGGGGGAAAATAATAGAAAGTAAACAGAGGAAATTCAGCACATCAGATCATACATCAGGAACATGTTCCAATCATGGATACAACTTCTTTTTTATTTAAAATAATCTAGAAGAAATCACCAAGAAAAAATATGTCAGTACTCATCCTTTTTCTCACCTTTCTGCCATCAGTGGTGTAGAGCTTTGCAACTGGATATTGCATTAACTCACTCATATAATCCAGAAAGGCCTCAAATGTTTGTGTATTTTTCTTTCCCAAAACTATGGTGCGCCTAAGTCTTACATCCCCATTTTTGAAAACAAGCATCTTTTTGGGAGTTGTTATTCTGCTTTCTCGATGGCCAAACCCATCCTCATTCTGTCTTGCTAATTGCACAGCTCGACGACGAGCACTGACAGGCCTGCTGATCTGCCAGGGCAGTGGCTTTTTGCTGGCCTGTTCCAGGTTGATGGGTTTCATTTTCCTCTGATGCGAGCAAATATAGGATTTTCCATCTTCCAGATCCTCCAAATTGGTGATGCTGTGTCTCCCTCTTGGTGTACTAATATTCCTTACTCCAAAAGGTAGTGGGACCCGTTTGGATAAACTATCCAGCAAGGCATCAAATGTCTTGTAAGACCTGCTATTAACAACCATTTTGATTCCATTAAACTGGGGATCTCCACTTTTATAGAAACAAATCCGTTTTGCCACTACAGGTTCGGTAACATTGAAATGGCGCGTGGATAAACTGTGCTCACTCTCGGAGGAGTTTGGGTGATTCGCCGAGTAACTGCTCGAAGGTGTTTCGCTCATTTTGAGAGCAATCTGGAAGAAAGAGGAGATGGATATAAAACTTTCTCTGTGAGTGGTAAAAATATGATCTGCATTTTGAAAGGTGCAGGAAAAGGATTTATGAGAAACCAACGGCAGTGTGTTGTGCCAAAAATCACTGGATTTAAATGGATTCAAGCTGTTATCACTAAATTCCAGAAAGACTCCAATACTGTCAGATTAAGTTAGCATAGCTCTATTTGCAAGTATTTCCAAAACTCCCCAATGTAATTTCAAATCTCTTATCATTTTGTACAAGAGACCTTTCCTTAGAAGGAGGTGGTTTGTCTGTCCATCCTTTCTTGAGCATGAAGCTAATGACATTTCACATTTAAGATATTTAAGAAAGTCCCTACTAGGAGGGAGCAATCTGTGCTTTGGTACATTCCTTTTTTAGTCCAAAATAGCTAAACTGAAAGAAAATGCAATTCAGTCTGATCTTATATACTAGTTTCATATCGAAGCAAAACCATGGAATTCAGAGAAAAGACTCCTGATTTACAGCACTGTAATCTATACCATAATAAGACCCAAAACATATGTTAAAGTTTTATCATTAATTGACATATTATTTACTTTTCTATTACAAGTTTTTTCCTCACAATACATATCTACTACAACAATGATACTTAGGGGACACTGAGATGAAAAAAATTACTGACAAAATAAGGTGGTTCTAGTAAAAGAAAAGCCTTTAAGTCCCTCAAAAAGATACAAAAATTCAGGTATTCTTTAGGAGAAGTAGCATTGAAATGAAAACATTTAAATACTGGTTTTATAAACAACAAGTTATGTCTGACAACCATCTTGATAGTCTTCATGCTTGTAAATAGAGCACCAATCTTTCCATTTTAATCCAATCTAAATATAGATACTGTAATGACAACCCTTTCAGTGACTAAAATAACTATCTTAATGATTGGTTTGCTTTCACTGGAACACAAGGTAAAAACTTCCAACTAATTAGCCTCAAGGTAACAATTTTAGTGGACTTTTACTGAAAAGCTACATAGCAGCCTCAGGAAACACTTGTCATCAAAATAAATTAAATTCTTTGATGATGTAACCTTAATATAGCTGCCATATTGAGTAATGGAACAATTTCTGGCTACCATGTATTTTTTAATGAAGCTATGGAAAAGAGTATTCTGATTATTTTAATACTGCATATGTCTGTTCTGAAATTGATAAGATATTATGTTTCCAGACAGTGAAGGTTCAAATAAAGTCAGATTTGATAAGAATTTGTCTTACTGTGTTCTTACAGCTTTTCCAATAATGCTTCAGCTGAAGTGCAATAATGCACAGCTTCAGCTCAGATGTTTTGACTTCTCTAGGAGTTAATTGTTTTGAACGCTGACCAGAACACAGGAAGAAATGTCTCCTTATAAGACATAATTTATGCTGTAAAATAAATACTCCTCTAAATGCTAAAACTAAAAAATAGCCCAAAAAGACTGCACTAGAATGATCTAACACTGATTTACATAATCACCATTCGATTTAAAATAAATTAAAAAATTTTAAAAGCCTAAAAAATGAAAAAGGAAAAAACAAGTATTTAATTAAAGAATAAGCAAGAAGAAATTTTCAAGGTTGGCTGCAACAACTTATACAAGCCAGCTACTGAAATGGCTTACTTTTGGTAGGAGGGAGGAGCTCCACTTCAACTGAAACCACTGAGAGCTACATTTGTTCATTTTTTTGGCAGATCTACTCATTAACTGAGTAAATTTTCTCTATACTTCTATATTGAGAGGTCGTTTGGTGAGTTTAGACTAGAGATAAAATTTGAACCAGACATTTTATGCTGCATGCATCATTCTGCTTAGCTGGATGTTCCTAGTGGAAATGCATAAGGGCATTTTTGTTGCTAGTTGCAACACAAACTTTCCTACTCTCTTTGCAGAGCAAATGTTCTACTCGAGTGAAAACAGCAATGACAGAAGTTCTTGAGTGAACTGAATGTCATGTTACTCCATTTCAGCTGGCCAAGACTGGAATTTGAGAGTCCAGGATCTCTGGGGGGAAAGCATTGTTGTCAGCAATGGCCAGAGAGAGGAAAGAACAGACACAGCTCCTCAGCTACTCTCTACTGTACTACTAACACTTTGTGAAAATGGAGTGGAATTTCATCTAACTGTGTTATTCAATTATTCACTCTTACAGGAGATAAAATAGGTGGATTTTCTCATGAGACCACTGACATTAATCACTTTAGAATTAGTCTCACAAGCTGTTCTAGATATTTGTGCTTGTGCAAAACAGACAGTTACATAAGTATCAACATTTGAAAGAGAAATGCAACAGATTTTACATAAAGCTAATTATTATACTTAGCCTTGACACTGTGGAAGTACTAAAATCTAAGACAGAGAGGGAATATACATATCAATAAAGAAAAAAGACAGTTTTCAGTGTAAACATGAAATAATTTGAATGCACAAAACCAAGAAAAATAAGTTTTCCTTAGAAAAATGGATTATAAACCTTTATTTGGCATACCACATTTCTAGCATTAATTTAAATAGAAAAAAATTCTTCTGCATCTTTTAGATACCTTATAGTTACCTTTTACAAATAGAAAACATTTCAAAAATGAACAATTGACTTACTGTGGAAGTTATTTTTTCATACTACACACCACCACAAAATACTTTAATTTCACCATAAACACACTATCAATTTTCATACTTTATATTATTTTAAAATTAAGAAATAGTTGATATTATATGAAATAAGATGTCTATTAAAATACTTTGGAAACTAAAATGTTGAGAAATTTATTCTCCAATAAAGTCAAACAGAAATCAGAATTTAATTTTTTCCCTGTGTTCTATAAACAAAACCAGTCATGCAACGTTTATGCACAAAGCTAAATTCTATAAAGACACTAAGTGGAACACTTTGTTCTAAATACATAAGAATACCTTCAATGCCATAGAGCTGGTAAGCATTGCATATAATTTTATCATACTCACCCACAGTCCTATGTAAATAAAAGAGAGTATAGCTTGTTTTCAGAGATTTATAAATTGTATCATGTCTATGCCACATGAAACAACGTCCTTAGTCTTGTTCCAAGTATGCTCAGCCAGGAAAAACATCATAATCCACTTGCTTAATCTCAGCTAATGTGAATCACCAGACCAGGTTCACCAGAGGCAGCCACTGTTCAGAGCAGAATGTCTAACATCTCATCCTGCAAGTCCTCTCATATGATGTTAAAACACAATTTACTTACTAAATATTTCGTTTGTATAATTTTCTATTTACTTAGATTGCTCAACAGAGACACATAACCACATAAAATAAAAATGTGGGTGGGGAATGTGAATTATCTAATCTATCTTCTTGTCAGAGTAGGTTTATCATCCAAACTAAATTCTTTAGTGATAAAAACATTTAATGTATTAAAAATGGAGCTTCTACCACTCACCTTCTGAGACTATTAATTAACTATCTCTAATTATTAGCTACCCCTAATTCTTACTTTCGTTCATTCACTTCCTCAAGTTTGTTCTCTTAATGCTAAAGTTTCTCCCATATTTTTCTCTATTCAGACAAAACAGTGAAAATAGTTCCAGAGTTTCAATAGTTAGTAAAACATGACAGTCTGAAGGAGTTTTGTCATCCATGAGGCATTCTTTATTTCTGTATGTTGGAAAAAAGGCCATAATTATTAATGTGTGTGAATATAGTTCAGGAAGAGATAGGAGGATTATGTTTAACTGTATTTTAGTTATGCCATGGAATGTGGAATTTTTTTTCTTTTTCCAGTAGAAATACTCTGTTCTGAGGTGGTAACTGTTCCATCTAATTGCCACCAGATGTGTAATCTTATTTGGAGCTTCTTTGCTTAATCAGGATTACACCAAGCTCTCAAAACTAGCTGTGTAGAACAGTAACAAAAACACTGCACAGTAAACACTACCACTACATGCTGTAATGACCTTTTAACCAGTCTCCTTAGCAGAGAATTCCACATTTATAGTAGTTGCAAAATACCACTTCAGTTCCACTTTCATGAAATACATAGGTACAAACAAAGATTAAATTATAACGTTGCACAGATATTTTGCTATAAACATTGCTTTTTAAAATAATATATTAATATAATAATTTAGGTTCTTAATCTATTTTAGCTAATGTAATTTTATTCTAGTTGGTATTCTGTTGTTTACACTTGTTCAGAAGATGAACAAGTGCAAATTCTATTCTGATGTCTTAAAACTAAACTGCTTAAAACAGGAATTCATATTGGGTTGGATATCCCTGCAGTGTAGGATTTAAAACATTGTTGCTACCCTCATTAACTTTCCAGTGCATGCAAAGCCACTTTCAATAAACAGCTAATCAGTGGCTTCCATGTATCACTAGGACTGGGGACTCAAGAGATCACACTGCTGGGACCTGGTGAAGATGACAATCAAGTGTCACCATTTGACAGGGTAAATGCCTCTTATTTCTCTAAGACTTCAAAAGGCTTGCAAAGCTTCTGTCCAGTGAGCTTAAAGGCCCACTGCATTCATTCTTGTACTACAAACACTTCATATATTCTGAAAAGATAGAAGAAATCATCAACTTTATAGTAAAAATATTATCAATAAAACTATGCTGTACTCAGGCTTAAAGCTAACAAGCTACAAAAAAAATTATCACTGTCCTAAAACAATCAATATTGACACAGAAACACCTTTCACACACTCATGTGGGCAGCTTGGCTGACATCCATAGAGTTATTAAAATTTTGCAATAAGAATTTAGCCTCAATATCTGCAGAACAGTTGTTCTTTATATATAAACCTTTCAGAAAGAAAAATTAGGGAATACAAAATTAGTCCAGAAAACTGAAGCAAGCAAAATTAGGCCACATGAGAAAACATATCACTGATTAAAATTGTAATGGCAAGCACGTTCACAATTTTTTCTGAGTTGCTGTCATTCTCACTTTTAAAAGACAAGCCTGTTTATCTCCAAAA